AGAAAGAGAGAGAGACAGAGAGAGAGAGAGAGAGAGAGAGAGGGAGAGAGAATGTGTGTGTGCAAGTTCATTTCTGCGTGTGAATCCGTCGTGTCGACAATACAACAGTAACGATATTTAGCACGGAGCGCGAACTTAAAAAACAAAAGCGTCTACACTCGCTTGAAATTTATTCAAAAGATATGGAATATCTTATCTCGATTTAAAGTAGTAGTACCGATATTCGCCGATGGCTCGCGTTTGTTAGCGAATTTAGCGCGCCAGAACAGAGTGCAAACACAGTTTCAAAATGACGCAGCGCTAACATTCGTGTGAATTTAATCATGCTAAAATACGATTTAATGCCGTCAATATTGCAAGCTCTTCAATACGTGCAGTTTGAATAAATTTTCTATTCTTATTGAATATATCATTTGTCTGTACATTTATATTATTTTTAATAAAATAATTGGAATATTCAATCTCTCTTAATAAAGATATAATTATATGTTATTATATTATTATGTTATTATGTTATTACATATATATACGTATATTTGTGCTATAACTGGGGGAGAGGGGGGGTTGAATTGCAAGCGCTTCAGCATTGTCCCACGATGAATTTTGCGTTGTTTTGAAACGAGAAAAACATAAAGAGGAAGAAAGAGAGCACTTCATATTTCGCGTCGCCAGTCTGAAAGGGAGTGCGATTTTTTTGCCGCGCTTATATGTCGCGATTTTTCCCGCAGGACACGCGACAAGTTTAACTGTTCGTAAGCGTGGGAAGAACGAAAAAAAGAGCGGAGAAAAAAAAAGAAAAAAGAAAGACAAGTACGAGAAAACACGAAGGAAATGTCCGGCTGTTTCGCGAAAGCGCAATTATTTAAATGGCGCGCCATTAAGGACGCTCTGTCTTACGAACAAGAGGGTGGGGGAAAAGATGATATCTCCGGGATCATACGTGTCGCAGATGGTATCTACATCTCGCTCTGCTTTCTTCTCACGATTTCCATTTTAATTAATTTTCGTCCCGGTTACGAAACCGTAAGGGAGAAAGGGAAGTGAATTTTCCCGCACGCTTTGCATAATTAATCCCGCATCCGTAGTCGGTCCAAAACTTTTCAACATGTGTCCGCAACAATTGACGCGACTGTCACGACCGATTACCGCGAAAAATGCCGACCGATAATAGTAAAAATTTGAAAACAAACATTTCACACAGTAAGCGCTAATCGAATTTTCTAAATTAACGACAATAAATGCCAGTGACAGAAAGTACAATAATTATCATAATGAATGTGTGCGGTTTAATATGATTTTCTCGTCACACACACACACACACAAAACTGAAAACAAATAGATATTATTGAAAATCTTCGAAAGATCAATATTACGTATTTTTTATCGCGACGACCTACATCTTTTTCGAATAGATACAATTACGGGAGAGAGAGAGAGAGAGAGTATCGAAAGTGAACAATTTTCTGGCTACAATCCTGGAGCCCCAGTTGCTTTGTCGTGTCGCCAGGCCGTAATTTACGTCGAAAAGTTGCTTACCGAGGCGCACACACGAAGGTTGCGCGGTGTCCGTTGTTGCTTTTGTGTCCGGTTTAATCGAGATTAAGATTGATTAATCGGCAAACGTAATCCGCACGAAGCGCGAGCGTGATAGTTCGCAGTCACGAGCGTCGCGTGGGCCAAATTCTTTCGCATCTCCCGCTCTCTCTCTCTCTCTCTCTCTCCTCTCTCGCGTTTTAATTCTGTAAAATGGAATTTCGCGTTGCAACCTCCGATTTAATGTCCCACGGCAAAACTGCTCGAGGCGATGGAGGGGTAAGAGAGAGGAAAGAGTTCGCTTTAATACCGAGATACTAATTTAAAGCGCTGCTATTAAAATACGTAACGCTGTACATTCGTTTTTTTTCAGTACGCGCGCTCGGCACGAAAGCCGTCGTCGCGCGCGATGAAAACTAGATTGAGAAATATGATAAAAGAGAGAAAAGACCTGTTAATAAGTGGCGCTTCAAAAGCGTAATAAAACGTTTGCGGATTATGTAAAAGAGATTTTTACGGTCGCCGAGATATACGCAAAGCAACACGAAAACAAAGCGGAAGAAACAAAATGACGCAATAAAGTTGAAGAAACATAAAAAAAAAAAACTCTGTTGTAGAACTGTCAAGACGGTTCTCTTTCTCTCTCCCTCTTTCTCTCTCTCTCTCTCTCTCTCTCTCTCTCTCTCTCTCTTTCTCAAAATCGTACACTATCGATCGCATCGCTTTTTACATTCTTTCAACATCTTATTTCGACGAACAACAACAGTGATTGTTGAAAAGTTGAAATTGCACAGAGAGATGTTTACAAAAGAGCTGTTAGACAAAAACTTTGATTCTAATTCGCGAACGAAAAGTCGATCATTTGAATAATTCTCGACGTGGCTACGAAATGGTCGTATCGGCTTAAATCCTTGGACTGGCTACAATATACCATCGTGTCATCGCTTCGCGACATCGCGACAGGTACGACGGACACGCCGTATGTTATCGATTTTTTCTGCGTGTATGACACGCCGCGGTATGACGACCCAGCAGAGCGAGGCTAGGGAAATTGCGGCTTGTAATAGTCGGGCGGGATTTTATTGACCATAGTTGTGTGCTTTTTCGTTTTGCCGATTTTACGAAAAACGATCGTTTCTGCTGCGCTACACGATAATATCGTTAAAACGATATTTAGAAAAATAATAATAACGATACGACACCGCACACATTAATTATTATATTATTATATTTATTTGATCTTTCGAATGATCTTTTGAATTTCGATGCGATATTATATCTACGAGATTTTGTAAAATACATTGAAGAGAGTCGCGCAATTATTCACGAACTTTTCACGTTTGCACTTGAAATCAAATCTCTCCCGATCAATTTCACCTGTCCGAAAAATTCCGACGGAAATTCCGACTTTTCACCTTTCGAAACTCACGGGAGAGAATCGAACTCGTAATCGAATTCTTCCCGTAATAACGATCGTCGTGGAATATTTTTGGTAAGGTTTTTCCCTCCCTTCCTTCTTTCGACACCTCGCTCGCTCGCTCTCTGGGAGGGAATTGACGTCGCTGGATAATAACTCATTCGCTTATAAAATGAGATTTACCACGGCGACTTTTCGCACCTCCTTAGTTTTCCGCAGACGACTTCTTAATCTCGTCACCTCGCCCGTTACCTCGGGCCGTCTCCTTCCCCCAACAACGACAATCTAATTTTCCACCCAAAAGGAAAGGGTTTTAATCGGTTCGTTTCTTGAATTCGCTTGCGAATTCGCTCGGCGCGATTAACGGAAAAGTACTTAAATTATTATTATTATTTTTGTGTTTGTTTGTTTCACCGCTTGTAATTTGCTAAAGCATTTATGGCACGTGCCTTAATTACCGTGGCACGTTCGATTTCTCTCTTAATTGACCATTGTGCAGACACAAAAGGAAAATTTCACCATCAGGACCCCGTCTTTCTTGCAATAAAAAATAGCAATTTATTACATGTAATTACACTCCGAAAGCTATGTATTTCTCTCTCATTTTTCTGTAATTTGATCGAAATGAATTTTTTTCACGCACGTTCTATTCTCGTCGATATAACTGCCGAATTGCTACGTTCGACAGTTATCCGGCATTTCGACGCTTTCGCCAAGTGTGTGCGTGTGTGTGTGTGTGCGCGCGCGCGCGCTTCACGATTTGGCGACGAAGTGCTGGAACTTCGTGTGTGCGACACAATTCTCACATTCGCCTTCCGGATTCGGGCGCAAACTTACTTCTCGCCCGCGCCGGCGACGGAGTCACGCGGTCAAGATTTGCAATTCCTGCACTTTTCCGCCGACTCATCCCACCGCGCACGGGTCGGTTCACGACGACGACGACGACGACGACGACGGTCCACGAGGAATTTAAATTTCCTCGAAATTGAATGCGACGAGGAAGTTTGCCGCGATTCGTAGCTTCCGCAACGCGGAGAGCGTATGTTGTAACTCGGCGCGCGCGGTGTTGTAACTTCCTTTGCCGTGTAGCACCTGCTCCGCCGAGGGAAGCACATTGTGCGCGCCCTGGGTTACCATCGCGTGACGATATGCAGAACCCCAGAAAGAGAAGAAACATACACGTTGAAGATAAACTCGAAAGTCGCCCGCTTTCTGACATTTAAACAAATATTTGTGCGTTCGAATTTTCGAATAAGATCCGTTTACTTGTCACGTATACTGTCCAAAAAAAACCAAAAAAATTAAATAATCTCAAAACGAATTGTTCAAAGAATTTTCAACACACTTTTTTCTTCAATCTTTGTTTTTTTTTTTTTTTGTAATTATCAAATAATTGCACTTAAACAAAAATATAAAAGCAGCGCGACCCTCTTAGCGACTTTTATCTCCGCGTTTTCAGCCCACGCAATTGCGAAGCTATTCACGCTCCTGGAGGTACACAACATCGAGCAAAACGATCTCATTTGGGATTCTCTCTAGTTCTCTTCTCGTGCCATTGTCATCGCCGCTCTACCGTCCGCATTTTCCGAATGGCATTTTCCGCGATACGTGGCGTTTCGCACGTTTTCGCGTGTCCGCGCCGTGTCTCGTGGCGTACAACGTAATCCGGCCGGAAAGCCGGTTACGCTCGCTCTCATTAACTCGCCTTAACAATGAGCGTGGGTGTCGGCGTAGTACGTCGCGCGGAGTCCTTTCAACCCTCCGTCTACATCCACACCCTTCTGGAAGCTGACGGCGCAAGGCGCACGCGCAAGCTCGTTTCTCTCTCTCTCTCTCGCTCTCTCTTAAACGACGACGACGACGGCGGCGACGACGACGACGACGACGACGACGACGACGACGACTACTACTACTACTACTACTACGACTACTACTACCACTATACAACTACGACGTCGGGGCACGATGCGTGTGGGGGCGGTTCGCGCGTAAAATCGTGTCGAGCAGCGACGCTCAGTCGCGCGGGATACGTCGTGGGGTGCGGTTGTTAATATCGTTGTTGTGTGTTGCGGTGGTGCGTGCGTGCATGCGAAGAGACAAAAAAAAAAGAAAAACAGGATAGAATAGAGAGAAAGAGAGAGAGAGAGGGAGACGATAAGACGTGCCTCTATCTTGTGCATTTCGCGCGAAGGTGGTGCGGAAGATGCGCGCGTGCCGATAACGATAAGACCGCCGCAGGGATGTGCCTAGCGGGGGGCACTTGGGCCCCCCTGCTGTTGGCGCTCGTGCTGTGCCTGCGTGCCGGCCGAGTCGATGGCAAGAATGATAATTGTGAGTACACACTTCGTGCGTTCTATATCGGTGTAAAAGGGGTGTGGGACAGAAACGATGATTCGCGGAGGGCTTAATACACGTACGTGAGGTATTTTCGAAATTTGTACGACGCGTGATGGTTTACGATCGTTTCGGAGAACCATCGCTGGCGAGATAAATGGCGAGATGCATCCGATGAAGTGACAGCTTAAACGCTCGAAACTTAAAGGCTCGTTCACACGAGACGCGCGATCCACTTGAGCGTTTTATTATTTCGAATATATATTTATGTCGGTCAGAAAAACATGGATAACGTTCTCCTTTGACACAAAACAATGATAAATTCCCCACTACTTTCGCAATTCAAAATTGCGAAGTGAGGTAACACTTTTACGCGGCATTTGTGTCTGCGTGGGAGAACGGATCTTGACACACATATTCTACGCACGCGAATCTGTTCTCTCGAAATGACACACACACACACACACTCTCAATGAACTCATATAAATATGCATTTATTCAATTTATCCCGTCATTCGTTCAATTTATCTAGTCATTCGTATTTATTTATACTCGTGTTTGTTGTGGTTCATTGCTCATCTGTGTGTCACTCGTAATTTATGACATCCTGCAAATTATCTTCGTCTTCAAAACTCTCGCGCTCATGGGAACGTATCAGTTCACACGGTCGAATCCACCCGTTCGTGACATATTTAAAATTAGGAGAATTATAAACAGACTCACAGATGCTAAATTCAATCGCAATTTGTAACGGATCAACTTCTCGTATATAAGATTCTTCCACTTTCATCCTTGAACGTAAACTTAAAGAAATTTCAGTGAGATCGTTGAAAAAAGCATCGCCCGGAGTCTCTTTTCATTTATATTGGAAGTTTGGAGTTGGTCCAAGAATTATAGAGCGTAAACCCGCCAAGCGAATATTTTGTCAGCTCTTTCGGAATAGCTGCGACACAAAAGCGAGATACTTTCGCGACGCATCTCTCCCGTGAATATTTCCCACCATCTCTCACATCCATCGGAGTCGTTTGCTTCCCTTCGATATCAAGGATGGGGGGATTCGAGAGGTATCTGAAAATTTACCGTTGCTCCCGCGCGATAACCGTATACGACGCATGGCGCACAATAAAATCGTCTCGCATCCGTAAAACGCGAATGGAGAATTCGCGTCACGGATTATCGTCGTGGCGCGTGCGCGGTTTCGCAAGCAGAACGGGTCAAGAGACACTCCGGGTTTCTCCTCTCGCTCTCTTTTCAGCATCCGACCCATACTAAAAAACACAATTACACGCGTCGTACGACGCGGCTGTATTGGATTACTCTCTTCTCCTCCCCGCCTCCCCCCTCCCTCCCGCCGTTTTATCGACGTTATCTAATAATTTAGTGGCCACTCCGATCTCGGATCTTTCAAATTATATGTTCGCACGTTACTGTATTTTTACGCTACTATATTTGCACGTGGGATATCGAAATCTTTTTTGTTTGAATCTAGGTCGTGCAAGTTACGACAGGAACCAAATTAGTATAATATTTTTACACACACACACACACAAAAGGGAGACTTTTCGGATTATCCCTGTTCTCTTTTTTTTTCTTTTTTTCTTTTTTTCTTTTCCGGACAAAGACTGAATAATACATTTCTTTCACGATCAAACGAGAGTTAACATAAATATTATAAACTGTTTGAATCGACAGATTCATCTTGTCGAGTCAATATTTTGCGAAGATATATATTTTTCCGAGAATATAACATTTCTGAAAGAGAGAACGAACAAAGTTTGATGCAATCTCTTTTAAACACGAGAGAGAGAGAGAGAGAGAGAGAAAGGGAGAGGAATATTGACTGCAAAATTTTTCTCACTTACTTTTCGTTCGGCTATAAAATTTATTCTTTACGGTTCCGTGTGTCTGGTAACCTTCTCTCGCTTCCGGCGCCGGAAAACTTCATCCGCGGACTTTACGCACGGCGAAAAGTGGGTTGAGCCAAATTCTCACGCCGGCAAGAAGAAAAGTTGGCTTAATGCATTAGAGAGACGAATGCCGTTGTGTGCGCGCGCCTTGGATTTTACTTGGGATAGGTAAGGTTTGCGATACCGCGCGGCGAAGAATCGATCCTATCGCGACTGGCTACACCAGCCAGCACGAACGTCTACCGTATGTATGTACGTTTTATACGCGTACGGATAGCTCTCCTTCGCCTTTATTATACAGAGTACATCGCTAAGAAAGTAAACACCAAAGTGTGTCTGATGTACAAAAAAAAAATCATGTCGATAGATTCGACACACCTGTACCTCTTTATTTGTTTACTCTCGTACTTCAATTTTTTAAATACATTTGCGAATATTGAAAACATATCGAAACACATGTAATCAACATACATTAACGACAATCTATATTGCATCAAGATTTTCTGTATTATAATTAAATTAGAGTACAAAATAATATTAATATATTCAATATAAAATATATTGTTAATGTACGTACATGTACAATAAGTCAATACGTATTAATATTGTATATTATACACATAATTGCAATAAATCTAATGGAACATGTGTTGAATAAGTAACTATAATAAAATAATATTTTATTCTCGCCAATTAATAGTGTTTTATTCATTATGTGTATTAGAGATAAATAATTTTTAATTCAAAAGCACATTGCGAAAATTGAGAATAGATACTTTCGTAAATTTTATAAAATTCAATTTTAATTACATTGAAACAACAAAAATCACCATTATATAATTAAAGCGTATTACGTAAGATATATTGTGATTTTGACAATTATACGCGCTTTGACAAAGAAACTCGGAGAAAAAAAACCAAACTCCTGTAAGTCACAACGTGTGTACACTAGTGGAAGAAAAAAAAATACTTACTCCGTAATTTTTTTACTGCTCGAGGCAAAAAAATCTCATCGGAAAACGACGCGACGCGTTTTAAATTTAACGTTGCATTTCATAAGTTTGTACTTCACGAAGTCCAGGCTCGAGGGCACTTTCCGAAACGTCGATACTCTGTGCGCGACGACGCGGATTAAGTGCCATTTCTACGGCAGCGGGGGTCGCGAAGTTTTACGGGTGGGTTTTCCCACCCCACCCTCCCCCCTCAAGCAACGGGGTTCGTATTCAAAACACAAGTATCGTTTCCCTTTTCAGTGGGCATCATTGTGCCGGCATAATTCCAGTTCCGCGATGAGAAATTTTTACGATCGCATGGATTTGTCGCTCTCCCTCCTTGTCTCTCTCTCTCTCTCTCTCTCTCTCTCTCTCTTTTTACTGTCTCTCTCCCTCTCGCTACAATGGCCACCCGTGATTTCATTAGACGCGAATTCCGACATCGCATCACGGTCGAAATTTTGGGCTTTCATAGCTCGATAAAACGTTTGATCGGATCAATGCGGGGACCAATCGTGAACGCGCGTGGATTTACGAGTATGTTAGCAATGAATGTACCTCGAGAGAACAATAGCGAAATATTTGTAAAATACGCCAGATGCGCATGAGTATTTTGACGCAGTAACCGAGTCTCGTGTGCTAAAAGCGAGTGCTTTTGCGATAATGATTTATCAATCTTTTTTGTTAAATTTCGCGGAAAATCGAAATTTTGTCTCTTACCGCGTTCGCCATTTTGCGTTACATTGATGTGTGTGTGTGTGTGTGTGTGCGGGTGTGTGTGTGTGTGATCGAGATCTTCGCTCGCGCGGACAATGTACAGCGAAATTACGCGGAAAACGTTGGCACGAAAGAAAAAGAACGAATGAGGAAAGAAAAAAGAAAATGGTTCGAACGACCGCGTTTCGCTCGTATCATTGAACTTTACTTCGGCGTGTATATAAGTTACACGACACGGATCGGGCAATCGATGGCTTTAAAGCCGCAGAACGCGAGGGCGAAACCAAGTAAAACTTTTAAGAACATCCGCGCGTTATTACGCACCGATGACACTGTGTTCCCGAGTCGCGTCTTATTTCCGCAGAGCGGATAGAATCGGTAAACGTCAATATCGCGAGGAAGGAAAAGTTTTTCGCGCGGATCTCGCGAGCTCGTTCGCGCGAGACGAAACTCACGCGGAAAATGACGCCACAAACGTATATATATATAAATAGAAGTGAGGAGGAAGGTACGTGCTATACTTGTCGCAAGATAGAACAGAATTTATTGTATCACCGATGGAAATGTCTTTGCACCGCGATATAAACGCAAACTTCACGGTCGTTGTGTGGGAAATAAACGTACATTGGCGAAGAAACTATAACAACCAATCATTTTTATATATTTATGTGTGTGTATATATATATGCAAGTTTTTTTCTATTAATAATCTTCATCAAAAATACTTATCTATATACTCCGATGCGAGATGAAGATGTTGTAGATGAATATTATATTCGCACCGGGAGTGCGAGTACAGATAACGTACAAATACATTTTTTGCTTAACGTAGACGTAATGGAGTGTAAGAAAAAAATTTACATTCGTCTCGGAAGGGCAAATAGATATATGATATTTCTCTCTCGTAAAAACGATGACGCGGCCACAGAAGACAGATGCAGATAATATCGCGCGCTCTCTGTCTCTCTCTCTTTCTCTCTCTCTCTCTCTCTTTGTCTCTTTCTCTCGCGGCGCGTATTCGCGCGAGAAAACTTTTGCGATGTGCCTGAGCTCCTTCAAGTGCTCGGAGCAAAGTGCTCGGAACTTAATATGATAGCGCTCGGTTGGCGCTCAGACGAGCCGTGGTGCGCTCGAAGAGAGTAATATTGATCGACGGAGCAGCTTACATCGTGCCAGGAGGGAGAGAGAGAAAGACAGAAAGAGCCACACACAGCGAGAGAGGGTGCGAGAGAGAGAAAGAGAAAGAGAGAGCCAGAGAGAAAGGGCGATGAGGGAGAGGGGAAGGACGAGAGGGTTGGAGGGCGAGTTGAGGAACAAGAGGGAGGGTCGCGTTGGATGGTGGTGAGAGGGGGTGGTTGCCGGAGGGTCGTAGGGCTGACGCG